TCACCCGTGGCAGTTACAACAGTGATTATCGCCCCTTGTTCCTGGCTGGTGACTACGTTGTTTTGTTTTTTGTTTTTGTTTTCGCAACCCCAAACTCGTACGAAAAACTACGCTTGGAAAGACAAACTGCTCCTATTCCATTTATTGTGCGCTTTAATCTAACTTTTTTTCCTCAAATGAAATTTTTTTGCAACCACGTAAAATTTGCAGATTCATTTAGGATGATTGTTTGCGAGAGCTCTTGCCAGCCAACGGGTCAGGGATCGTGGAAGCCATCAAAGGGCGTAATGACTGCTCATACCTGAAGAGTTGGAAGCCGCTGACCAGAATACCATCGCCCTGTTCTCAGTCTGTTTGTCCTTGTTGTACAGTGTAATGTTTAATAAATACGCTCTTCGGGGCTGTAGATGCTCGAACGTGTAAGACCCGAGTATCTGGGATACATTGGTAACTTCTTGACTCCATGAACTGGAGTTCAGCAGCCTCAGTTTAAGACTGACGCGACAAGCACTGAAAACAGCGTGCTCCGTCAGACTCCAGGTGACTTGTACAGATAGGTATGACTTGTTTTGAGCAAACACGCTGGATAATAATGGATTGGACTCAGCTGGGAGATAGAATTATAGATATTACTCATTTCACGAGTTATTTAGAACTAACTTTTGATCATAGACTCATTGCATTTATAAATGATTCATCTACTCTGCCTGTGCATCAAAAACTTCGATCTCAATCAATACAACACTGAGCTGAATTATTCTCACATTTTGATTGGCCCGTACTCATGATCTATTAGAGGACAAACGTAAAGATGACGTGATCATGAAAAACATTTTGCTCTTCCCTCACATAAAACAAATAGATACCATTTTGCCATCCATCTCTGTACTGCATCACAGAAGACGTCGGTGAAAATTTTAGTAAAAACATCAGTGACACCCTAGCCTGTGCCTCGTATGCCACTCTTCTGTTTTGATCACATTTTCCGTCATCGCCGAACAGACATACGACAAGATGGAAACTGAGCGGTCAACGAGGTCATAGCCAAGTTGTGTTCACTTGCAAGCAACGAGCGTCCATATTCTGTCCAAACCTCTCGCAGCTTCATCACTCGTTTTCATGGCTCCTTCGCTTAGTGCTTCAAAACGCGAACAAAGCTGCTAGCTATGGAGGCTTTCAAGCTCACGCCGGGCC